GCAGCTGCCAACATTTGCCTCCGGCCCAAAGCTATAAAAGAGCAAAAGATCTGCTTAAAGAACATTTTGGGAATGAACATAAGATTGCCACTGCGTATATGGAAAAAGCATTTGCATGGTCAGTGATCAAACCAGAAGATGTGAAAGTTTTACAAGCATTCTCATTGTTCCTCAGAGGTTGTTGCAATGCAATGGAACATTTCACCTACATGGATGAAATGAATGTTGCTTCCAATATGAGGGCCATCCTTCTGAAACTGCCTCATAAACTCAGAGACAAATGGAGGAATAAGGCATATGAGCTACAGGAGCTGCATGGCCATCAAACTAAATGTTCTGACTTAGTTTACTTCACAGAGAGACAAGTGAAGATACTGTCAGATCCACTTTTTGGAAATATCCAGGATGCCAAGCCTGCTGCAGCTGTCAAAATCTCTACCTTTGCTAAAGCAAGAGGAAAGTCAAGACCAAGAGGGAACAGTTTTGCAACAACTGTAACACCAGTTCAAGAAAACTTGTCACAACCAATGTAAAAAAAAAAGTTCTTGTAACAAGAGTGGTCACACATTGGGCTGGTGTCCACAGATCAGGAAGAAGTTGTACAGAGAAAAAATAGACTTCTTAAAGATAAAGGGAGTCGGTTTTGGATGTTTGAAAATAGGACACATGAGCAAAGACTGCAAGAGTCGTTTGACCTGTGATGTGTGCAACCAGAATCATCCTGAAATACTTCACATTGAACAGAAGGACAAAGAAAGGAAATCAGAACATACAGAGCAAAATGAGAAACCAGCTGGGAGCAATGCACCTCATACGTGTAGGCATACTGGGGCCGGTGATGAAACCTGCATCTTCTCCATCGTACCTGTTAAAGTAAAGAGCCACGAGGGGGACACAGCCTTGCAAACATAGGCATTCTTGGATCATGGAAGTTCCTCTACCTTTTGCACAGAAAGCTTGATGAGAAGGCTGAACATAACAGGACGGAAGACCATCAATCTATCTATCAATCTATCAATCTATCTATCTTATTTATACAGCCCAATATCACAAATCACAATTTGCCTCACAGGAGTTTACGACATCCCTCTGTCCTTAGGACCCTCACAGCTGATCAGGAAAAACTCCCCAAAAAACATTTATTCTTTTGCGTACCATGAACCAAGTGAAGCCTGTGACCAGTCATCATATCTCAGGTTTGAAAATATGTGGTCTGGACACAGATGATTTCATTCAACTATCTGATGTGTCCACGCATAAAACCATGCCTGTTTCTCAGCTCAACATTCCGAGGCCACAAGACCTGACACAGTGGCCTTACTTGAAGAATATCAAGATTCATAAAATAGACTCCGGCAGTGACCTACTCACTGGGACGAATGCTTCTAAGGTATTGGAACCTTGGAAGCTGGTCAACAGCCAGGGGGATGGACCCTACTGGGCCGGGTCATCTATGGTCCCTTGAGAGGAGACAATGACATCAGGGATGAAAATGGCTGCCCTGCTGCTTTTGTCAATCACATATTCATTGTGAACCTGGAGGAGCTACTGGTTAAACAGTACAATCAGGACTTCATTGAAAGAACCAGTAAGGAAACAGATGAAATGTCCAGAGAAGATGTAAAATTCTTGGATGTTATGAAGCACAAAAAGCACATTTGGGGCGCTGCAGATGTGTCTATCTAGGCTTGAGAATCCAGATCTGCAATTGGCTGCGGCTTTGGCGGTGGCACTGCTCATTTGCATAAAGTTCAGCTTCTCTCAACTTCAACTTGACGCTCTGGTCGCTGGTATTGTGCCGCTCGCTGCAGCCGACACCCCTGACACCCTTCATTGCCAGCGTGCATTGAAAATGAATGGCTGCCGGCTGCTTATGACACTCATGAGGCTTTTGGTGGGAATGCACAATAAGGCTATTGCTGGTGGGTTTATACCTTCGTGCGCACGCATAGCACTGAGAAAATTTAGCCCACGCCCACCTGTGGGATGGGCCCCACCCACAGTCTCCACCCATGGTCTCACCTTGACTATAAATTGCATCGAGACCGTACAATCAGCTCCGAGAACAGCTTTTTTTCCAGCTACTCACAGAGCCAGTGGGGCCCATAACTTAGAGGGCTGCGCCTATACTCATAGAATCTGGAGTTACAGTACATAACTATCATTCTATTTTGTATAGGCTTCACCCTCTAAGGCTATCACTAGTGGGTTAAGGGCGGAGCAGGATATAGCCAATGCAGGGATGAGTGGGACTGGTGGGAAGGCATAAAGGAGCATTCTGGTCCACGGCCGATACGCAAACGTGTCCACTCCCAGGGGAGGATTGTCTCGCGCACCATGCCTTTCTGCGTGCAGCGAACGGGTCCACCTCTGCTCTGCCGAACTTGGTCCAAATGTGGGAGACAAGTTCGGGATGAAGACTCCAGTCCCCCTGATTATGTCTTTGAATTATTGATGAGCCTACATATACTCATGTTGTTATATTTCAGTGTGTATTTCAGTCCCTCCAGGATCTCACAGCAAAAAAACCTTGAATTTACGGCCAGTTTTGTCAAAAATCACATAAAGATTGTGGCATTTTTATGTGTTTTTTTTTTTTTGCAGGAAATTGCTGCTAAGGACAAAAGGAGAAAAAAAAGTTTTTGTTTTTTTTAATTACTACCTCCAAAAATATAAGTCATGTAATCACTTGATATAATAATCACACTGAATATTACAAAAATGGCTGCAAATGTTTTTTATAGTTTTATTTCGCATAGGCTTCGTCCTCTAAGGCTATCGCTGGTGGGTTTATCCCTCGCGCACTGAAAAATTTCAGTCTACGCCCACCTGCTGTGTGGACCCCACCCACGGTCTCACCTTTGCTATAAGTATAATCAGCTCCCATTTTTCTTCAGCGAACTTGCAAGCACATGAGAATTCAACTCTGCTACGATCACCTCCAGGAGGACATCAGACGGCGACCGGACCTGCCCGGCCTGTCTGTCCACTATCATCAGAAACTTTGACCTTCATGGCTGCTGTGAGAACTGCCTGGGACCAGAGCACGCCGGCCTGGCAGAGTTGAATTCGCTAATTGCTAACGGTTAGCTAAATTTCGCTAACTGCTGACGTTTGTGAATTTCTAACGTTATGCTACCTTTTGTAACGGCAGGAATAAACACACCTGTAGGAAAGAAATAGGCAACATTGCCATTTATGGCTGTTTAAAAATGTGCTGGCTCTAGTACCAGCTGAAGATGTCTTCAATGTAATCGCTAACATTGGCTAACATTTGACGTGTTTGACAACCGCTAACGTTATGTGCATGACCAAAACATCAACTTGGAAGGCAGTTTTAATCAACAGCAGTGTCTTGTACATACCGTGTCATTGAGTCAGGAAAACATTGGTTACGTACTGTAACCACCGATTCTATGAGTATAGGTGCAGCCCTCTAAGAGCTGTCGCTATTGGGTTTATCCCTGCGCGCATGCACAGTCGTGAAGGTTTTCTTTCTCGCCACTGTGCCCTGATACCAAATTGGTATTATTCATCATTGCTTAAGAGGACAAGATCAAACCGTTCAATTATGTTGTTTAGTATAATACCTGACTGGTTTGTACTTTTGTTATTGAAAGATGAATGTTTGGCGTTAAAATCTCCCATTATTACAACTGTCTTTTCTTTTAGGAGGGTTTCTTGAAAGAGATGTGGAGATGGAGTGACACCAGGTGGACAATAAACTGCTGGAGTTTGAAGAGAGCTTAACTCTAGCAGTAACAAATTCATTATTCTGAGCTTGTTCAGGACTCAGTGAGATGGTAAATTCATGATAAACAACTGGTCTTTTAAGCAGGGAGCAGATCTCTGGTCACGCAGGTATTATATACCCTGTTTGCGGACCTGAGAGAGGCAACTGTGCAGGGCACAGTGGCGCGAAAGAAAATCTTCACGACTGCACATGCGCGCGGGGATAAACCCAATAGCGACAGCTCTTAGAGGGCGAAGCCTATACGAAATAGAACCCCCATTCAGTCAGACGATAGACTATGTATTCCTGACGAGCACAAGTAGGCCTACTCGCCACTGCCAACCGGTGGCGCACGTCTGGTCATGGAATGAGTCTATTCTAAAACTCAGTGAATACACAGTGCTATTTAGCACTGTTTTATTATTTTATCCACTTTGCTTCAACCGATCACCTGAAAATTTCATCAAAATCCGTTCATAACTTTTTGAGTTATTTTGCAAACAATCAAACAGACAGACAAACAGACCAATGCTGGTGAAAACATAACCTCCTTGGCGGAGGTAATAATGAAGACAAATGAGGGAAATCACAGGAGAAGACAAGACTCAGCAGAGCCAGTTCCTCAGGTCAGGACTCAGCAGAGCCAGCTCCTCAGGTCAGGACTCAGCAGAGCCAGCTCCTCAGGTCAGGACTCAGCAGAGCCAGCTCCTCAGGTCAGGACTCAGCAGAGCCAGCTCAGGTCAGGACTCAGCAGTCCTTTTACATCAAAAGGAGATCGAACACTTCTTCGAGGACAGCTATGTTCACATCTTGGCCAGAGGAGAAAGATCATCATCCACGTCAAACTGAAACCCTAATGACACATGAGACAGGTGGGTCACTGACTCACAGGTGACCTTTAAAGACCTTTTAAAGTTTAAAGCCTGTGACTCCGCACCAGTCAGGTAGAACTGAAGAAGCCTCTGAGATGAGATGTGAAAGGTCCAGTTGCCTGTAAAACAGCACCTGAGATTTCCTGAGCTGGATGACTGAGAATCTTCACCAACACACAGAACAGTAAGGACCCAGTACACATGTGGAAAACCAGATAGTTTGTTTTCTGTAATGATGTCAGAGACTAATTACCTCTTAACTTTTACTGAGCAATATAAAATTATACCTACTGAAACTAAACATTAACAACATGATTGACAAAGTGGAATATAACGTGATGTCTGGTTTAATTTTGAAGTAGCAGCAGGAATATATTTTATTCATAAAGCACTTTTCACAGAACTCAAAGACACTTTGCATTAGTTAAAAACAATGACAGTATATTAAAATACATCAACATCATTCACACGTTAAAAGTCGTTTGAAAACTTTTGATGAGTCACTTCAACTGAGAGAAAGTACAGTGGTAAATATGAACTCTCCTCTGATTGGAGGATCGGAGTCGCGCTCACTTCGGCCAATCACAGTGCAGCTGCTGTAGCTATATAATGCAGTTGATGCGGCGTTATTGTTATATTTCTCTCTTTGAAAGCGAAGAAAATAAAACAAAATGTCAGGTCGTGGAGGAAAAACTGGAAAGGTCAAGGCCAAGGCGAAGAGCCGCTCATCTCGTGCCGGACTTCAGTTCCCTGTCGGCCGTGTCCACAGGCTCCTGAGGAAGGGGAACTACGCTCAGCGGGTCGGTGCCGGAGCTCCGGTGTACCTGGCGGCGGTGCTGGAGTATCTGACCGCTGAGATCCTGGAGCTGGCTGGGAACGCTGCCCGCGACAACAAGAAGACCAGGATCATCCCCCGTCACCTGCAGCTGGCCGTCCGCAACGACGAGGAGCTCAACAAGCTGCTGGGCGGAGTCACCATCGCTCAGGGCGGCGTGCTGCCCAACATCCAGGCTGTGCTGCTGCCCAAGAAGACCGAGAAGCAGAGCAAGAAGTAAACACACAAACAAACAAACGGCTCTTTTAAGAGCCACACACACTGAACTAAAGACTCTGATCCTGTTTTACTGTCTGTGTGATGTTACAGTGTTTATGAAGTGGTTAAACAGTGAAACACATCTGAGCCTGCTGACAGTCGTTATCACCAAACATCAACACTTAGGAAACATTTTCTTAATATTGGCTACACAAAGCATGACAGAACACAAGATAATGACTACAGAGCAAAATTAAGATGAAGACTAGTTTACTGTCACGCACAATAAAAGTTCTGGTTTACACCATGTAATGAGATCCTTAATGGCTGCCTTTCACACAAAACTATAATAAAAATTAGCAATAATGTAAATGAGGAGAAACAATGGACTAAGTTAAAAAGCAAAGTGCAGTGTGCTTCATTCAAACATTAAATATTTTTTTGTTACGAATTGTTTTCATGTTTCTTTGTTACTACATTTGTTTATCAGCCTGCTGTTTAATACTTGTCACTTTTACACCTAATACCCTTCATTAATGTGCATAGTGCTATATATTTTATTTATGTTATATACATACATCACATTTACACAATACAAAGGGGTTTGATGACTGTCGGTTTGACCTCAGTGTTGTTACACGTAAGTAGAAATATTTAAACGTGATAAATAAAAAGTGTTTTCTTTTCTTTTTTTTTCTCTCTTTTTTCCCCATTTTTTCATCTATTTTCCTTTAACCCTGACTAGTTTAAAAAAATATATATCTATATATTAAGACTGCAGAATATCAATAACAATAGGACGCATCTGTAAAAAACTATAAAACAAAGTCTAGGAACTTTTCAGTTGCCTCATCTTAAAATCAATAATTAAAATAATCAAATGGAACAATAAAGAGATAAAACAATAAAGTAAAGTAAGAGCAAAATCCTTTAAATATCTCAATGTGTTGTGGTTGTGATTAACGGTCATGGATTTAAAAGAGGTGTTGACGGGCTGCTGAGTTTGGCCCCGCCCACCCCAGTCACGTTCTTCATTTACGTCCGCAGATAAGAACTATAACCAGCTGGTGTCGAAAATTTAGGGCATTCTTTTCTTACGATCCAACTGTCAAGAATCAACCATGAGCGGAAGAGGCAAAGGAGGCAAAGGACTCGGTAAAGGAGGCGCCAAGCGTCACCGCAAAGTTCTCCGTGATAACATCCAGGGAATCACCAAACCCGCCATCCGCCGTCTGGCTCGCCGCGGCGGAGTGAAGCGTATCTCCGGTCTCATCTACGAGGAGACCCGCGGTGTGCTCAAGGTCTTCCTGGAGAACGTCATCCGTGACGCCGTCACCTACACCGAGCACGCCAAGAGGAAGACGGTGACCGCCATGGATGTGGTGTACGCTCTCAAGAGGCAGGGCCGCACCCTGTACGGCTTCGGAGGTTAAACCGTCACTGACCCGCTGATACTCAACAACACAAAGGCTCTTTTAAGAGCCGCACACTCTCACCTCAAGAGACACGTCCATGTGACTGTATTAATATAACAACACATCATAAACTAACACAGCTGAGAACACTTTTCTTCATATGGAACTGTAACATGTTCCTGACATGAACGTGTTTAATATTTCTGTTTGACCCATTTTATGGATTGAAATCCTTGTGCACCGCATAGTATTTGCTTCAAAATTAAACAATTATGTAGAATAAACTAAACTCTAAAATAAATCGTTCAACCACCGGGCAGAATAATGACCGTTGATACTAGAGTGTTGTTTAATAAAGATTAAAGGTTGTGCAGGTCCTTAAATCGTTTTATTTTTATGTTGGTCATTTTATGTGATGTAATATTTATTCATTATTGTCACACACTGTAGCTGCGGTCTCTGAAGCGAGTGTGTGTGAAGCGCGCGCTCAGTCTCAGACTACAGAGCTCAGCCAATCCTGTGCGAACAACAGCACAGTCAAATTTGCATGAGGCGCATATAAAGAAAGCTCCCGGAGTAAGAGTAACACATCTGTGAGAGAACAGCAGCAAACATGCCTGACCCACCCAAAGCAGGAAAGAAGGGCTCAAAGAAAGCCGCTTCTAAGGTCACCAAAACCGGCAAGAAGAGGAAGATGAAGAGGAGGGAGAGCTACGCCATCTACGTGTACAAGGTGCTGAAGCAGGTGCACCCCGACACCGGCATCTCCTCCAAGGCCATGACCATCATGAACTCCTTCGTCAGCGACATCTTTGAGCGCATCGCCGGTGAGGCCTCCCGTCTGGCTCACTACAACAAGCGCTCCACCATCACTTCCAGGGAGATCCAGACCGCCGTCCGCCTGCTGCTGCCCGGGGAGCTGGCCAAGCACGCCGTGTCTGAGGGCACCAAGGCCGTCACCAAGTACACCAGCTCCAAGTAAACACCTCTGCTCTCACTCAGCGACACAGCTACAACACAAAGGCTCTTTTAAGAGCCACACACTCACACTCTGCAGAGCTTGTCCTCTT